TAATTTGTGCTGAAGAGACCTCTCTTGTCAAATCAGCTTCCAGTGAATTACTTCTCATGGACATGGACTGAGCTCCGCTCAAGGTAATGAGTCTGGATTCAACAGAATGCTTTGCTTCATTTGCCACCAAGAACCCTTTTTGAAGCTCCTCCAACTCTGATTCAACATCACTTAATCGTGCTTGTGATGCCTCAAGACTGTTCTGACTTTCATTTAGAGCATTCCTGAGTTCAGCTTTCTCTGCTTCCACCTTCTCCAACTTCTCTTCTAGATCTGTTGCCCCATGAATCATAGTTTCGAGCTCAAACCTCAACAAAGTTATTGTCTCATTAGCTTTCCTGAGTTCGGCTTTCTCTGCTTCCACCTTCTCCAACTTCTCTTCTAGATCTGTTGCCCGATGAATCATGTGTTCAAGCTCAAACCTCAACAAGGTTATTGTCTCGTTGGCTTTAGCAGAAAATTCCAATTCAATTTCAGCTTTCTCTCTTTCCATTGTCTCCAACTTCTCTTCCAACTCTGCTGTTCGACGAATCATGCTGTCCAGCTCTGCTCTCAATGAGCTTTCTGTGCAACTTGAATTCTTGGCAGCAGATTCTGATTCTTGCTGTTGGTTCTTATGCTGTGTCTCAGGCAATGCAGCAAGTCGCTCCATCTCAAGAAAATCATCCATGAGACCAATTTCAATGGAAGAGGTTGGGATATTTTTACATCCAGCCTTTTCATTTCTGAATTGATCGAGCTCAGCAATCAGGGCTGATGCCCATGAATCAGAACAACCAGGCTCACACTTGTTTTGGTCAATGCCACTCATCTTTCGGCTATCAATATCCAATGCATCAAGCCGTTCTCCGCTGTCTGATTGACTATCTGTGAGAGATTCAACATAAATTGAGGATGCACCAGTAGATCTATGATCATTAATTGAGGCTGATTTACTGGCCATGGCTTTAAGTCTCCGGCATTCAGCTTCAAGCTTGGCCACCTTCTTTATGCTCTCTAAATGTTGCTTGCTGGCTGTTTCAGCTGCTTGGGCGCTTAAATCCCTCTCAATTGTCCTGATTTCTAATTCCTCAGACTGTGATAGGAGCTCAAGCTTGAGGACTGAATTTTCTTTCTCCAAAGATTCAAGTCTCTGGCGAAGGTCAGGATCACTATGAGCTGGAGATTCAGATAAAACAGCATCTGCTTTGTTCTGGAGCTCAAGAAGCTGGCTCTCAAGTTCAAATTTGGTAGACTCCCACTCACGAGTCTTTTTCATAACAGCTTCATGGATTTTCTGCTCCTGCTCCTCTCTTGCTTGTCTTAGCTGCCTAACACATTCTTTGACAGCCCCGTCAAGATGGGTAACCCGGTCGTCAAGTGTTGAATTCTGCTGAACTGCAGCCTCAAGTTTTTGCTTTAGTACAGCAACTTCATTTTCAGCATTCTCCCAGCCTAAAAATTAGGTAGCAAACGATTTGGAACATAGAAAGAAAAAGAAACGGGGAAAAATTAAAAGAAATAGCAGACAGTGTTTGAGTCAAATGCAATAGTCTGATACCAGCAACAGCTTCTTCTGCAACTTTGGCATGTTGCTTAACTAGGTCATCTTTGGCACTAACATTTACCAGAGCAGCTGATAACTTCTCTGTCAGTCTTCTTATGCTATCATCAACATCTTCACCATTCGACATAGTTTTTGATGTCACCTCAGGTGATTGATTGTTACTATTAGGAGATCCCTTAAAACCCTCCATCTAAAATGACACAAATAAATAAATATTAGAAGCAGATGAATGCAAATTCAAATTCATGAAATTAGACAATGGTGGTTCATTCAATTATTAAAGATCAAAATAAACATATAAAACATTGGTTACTGCTAACATTTACATTGGTCAAAATGAGGATTCTGCCTAGGATGTTGGGCTTTATTTCCTTGTATGAAAGAAAAATTTAGTTTTATTTCCTAAATTTGCATATATTTTATTCATAACAAATGTAAAATTAGCATGCAAAAAATAATAGTGAATACGGATAGAATTTAGAAGTTTTTGAAAGTTGTTTTATCCTGTTCACTATAAAATTCTTTTTATTTGTATTTGATTATCTTAAACAAAGACACACACATACATACTTTTACGAATAAACATGTCTAGCAACATGAATTTAGAAAATAAAAACTAATAAATATTTTTATGTACCAAATGGAGCCTTAATATTCTTTTTTCATTATTCATGTCTGGACGCAGTGCATTTAGTTAGTTACGGATAAATCCTGGCCTCCCTTCTCATCAAGAAGTTATGTTCCTTTTCAAAATGATTCTTGTAAAAATGTTGCACTCTCATTTCCACCAGACCTATTCTACACCTGGATGACTTCTTTTATTTTTTATGCACAGCTGACAACCTAATCCTACACTTTGATAAAGCCCTAAAAGATTCATGAGAAATGCTGATAGAACCAGAACATTCATCAGCATGATAGGTTCGTCTTCATCCTAAACCACACACATAGAAACATGATAAACTTAACATTCTAACTGCATCGATTGTGCCAGCTTGGATGGCAGACAAACTATAGTCTGCCAGAAGTATGTATGTTCTGATCCTTCTTTCTGCACAGATCCATCAAAGCACCTTAAAAGACTACCTCAAAGCACTACAACAACTTACTGAGCCTATCTAGCAGCTGTCGTACCTAGTATCAGCAAATTTTGAAGAAAATACTTAATCACAAATAGAGTAGTTAAAGATGTTTATGGATGATTCATTTTCAACCAGTAATAAAGAGAAACAATAAAGCAGATTTAACTGCTGCAACAAATTTAATCTTAAAAAGTTTGTGAACTAGACCAGAAGGGAAAAAGAAACCACCAGTCTGGGTAGCGCTTTGAGTGACTGTTAGAGTTGCAGTGAAATCCTCATTAGAGTATGTACACTCATATGCTCTTGACCTAAAGGAACTTGATAAGGATAAAGAAAATTAAGCAATGTGGAAAATATAACAAATAGAAAGGAGAGAGACGTTTGTCCGAACCAAACTCCCCCAAAGAGTACAGAGGAAGAATTATGTTTATCTTTTCCATTTTTCTATATTTATTTGTCCTAGGAAGGGATGCAGAGAAATTATAAACTCGAGAAAACTGTGGGAATAGCTCTTTATGATCAAACACCTTACGAAAAATTTGAATGAAATAAGCAGCAATTGTAATTTAAAACAAGGAAAATCTGTAGGAGTGAAATGTCAATTAATTAGTATTTGATACAAAGTCAGTTAATCAAGTTAATTTAAGAAACAATGCAACACATTGAAAATTTTCAGAAACTTCAATGTGTAAACTCAGAATTGGTGATAAGAGATGATAGTAAATCACCTGATCATCAGAATATCTCTCGGAAAGAGAAGATATTGATCCAGAACTCTCGGTTTCTCCTGGGATCCTCTCAGAAGATTTTCTCTTCCACAACCATTTCCTTTTCTCCATGTTGAGTTCCAATCGTACAATAACACCAGCTACTGCATCACACACTACTTACCTTGACACAAGAAAAATGCAGGCTGCTTGTCAAACAAAACTGAAAAGAATACTAAAATCTCCTATAGAGTCAGGAGGAAAAACAAAGAAGAAGCACAAAATGAACACCCAAAGAAAAGCCAATACTGTTTTGCTGATAATGAACATTTGAAAAGGGATAAGGCAAGGCCTTAAAAAGCAGAAATACCCAACCTTCTCAATTGTCTGCATGATTAAGAAAACAAGATGAGTTGGCTTATCAAATTCTCAGCTTTGCTTCAAATCCACCCCAATTACCAGCCAAACTCAACAATAATATGTGATATTTATTTTAAGGACCCAAATATTAGCATATAGAGAAACAAGTAAAAGAGTAAAATACATTTGCCAACAAACTTACATGCAGAATGTGAAGGAATTAGTAGGGCAACTAACAAATCCAGTACTACCAGTAAAGAGCAGGAGATCACCTGGAAACCCATAACTCGAATCCCAAAATACGAACTACCCATCAGAGGAAGAGAACTCAAATCTTGCAAAGAAATCCGCCCGAACAGAAAGCTAGATCAGAATCAATGAAACAGTGGCTACTGACGAAGCACGATGACCGGAAGTGAAAATACCAGAAAACCGAATGTAAAGAATCCCAAATACGAATGACCCACTCAAAGCTAACAGCTGAAAAAGCCCTAGAACTCTTCTTGCCAAACGTAAAGGGCATCAAGCATAAATAATAAACTATATAAAACCCAAAAAAGAAAGAAGACTCAGAACAAATACCTTTGACCGGAAACCAAGAACAGTGCAGACAACAGATGAGGAACCAGAAATAAATGAAAAACAAAAGATTGATTTCAGATTCAAGTTTTCAAAAAAGAAATAAATAAAATATCAAGTCTGCAAAAATTCTGTGGAATGTCAGCTGATATTACAAGTAACATAAGGGAGCTGATAATGTGGGTTCTATTTCTTGTTCTGCTGTTCTGTAGCTTTACCTTTTCTCTTTTCAAATAAAATAAAACAGTGAGAGAGAGAGAGAGAGAGAGAGCATGTGCTGGTGAATGAGCTGAAGGACAATGTGTGACCTCAAAATCAACTTTTCAGCTTTTTCATTTTTCTCTCTTTAAAAATTCAAATTCCTTTCCCACTCTTTATTATCATTATTATCACTTTTCTACGTATTTTGAAAATGGGTTGCAATAATTCCCGCCTCTGTGAGTTGGGTTACTTACAGTAATGGAAATCAATACGTAATTAATGCTAATTATCATTTTAATAACGTTGCAGACTTCTGTTGCAGGGCGGAGGAGAGAGAGAGAGAGGGTCTTGAAATGAGAGACGTATTATATCTTTACTGTGTGTCTCTAGTTTTGATGAAGTATATAGCTTGGTTTGTAGTGTTGCTTAGAGGAGGAATCTTACGAGAAGGCGCCGCTTACGGTGGACTCGCTTGCGTACACGTTGGATTTGATGATTTCTTGAGATGCATGTCAACAACTTTATCCGACGGTCAATATTGCACCATCACCCTTGGATACCTTTGTGATATATATCTATATAATATTATATAATAAAATATCATATATTTTTACTTGCTCTCTCAATTTAATTTAATTATAAAAATAGTACGTAATATAGTTATATAGTTATATATATGCATTACTAATAAGCCATAATTTATAACCTAATCCGTAATTTATTAGTACATTATAAATTTCTCACCAACTATCACATCTTAAACTCTCAATTAACTAAAATCACATTATTAATTACGATATTAATTATGATAAATTATCAAATTAATTAGTGAAATTTAACATTTATTACAAACTTGAGATATCTAATATTTTTTAAAAATTATAATTTGATATCTAACAATTTTTATTTATTTAAACGCTTATTTTTTTAATTAAAATTATTAATTTATATTTAAACACTTTTTTTTTTTTGAAGGCCGACCCACCACATTTTTCTTTTTCTTTCTTTTTTTTTTTTTTGAAAAATCACATTTTTGGCTTATATATAAATTATATATATATATATGTATTTTAATTTACCAAAATTACAGTTAATAATTGCTGAAGAATCCCTCCAAAAATAAAATTTGAAAAGAAAAAAATTGTCCTCTTCAAAACTCAATATCTACCGTCACAAGTCATGTACCAGAGAGTTTTCATTTCCATCCATAACATTTTTATTTGCTTTGAAGAAATTAAATTTAATGTGAATAATTGAGAATGAATGTATATAAGCTATATATATATATATATACATACATACGAGTTATAAATATTTTATTACTTACCCTTTTTTTATATAATTAATTAAAGATAGATATTATGATCATCCTATTTGGTGGGTGCATGTGATGCATCATATGCATGCTATTACTATTTTCTCACATGCATGCATGATGCCACTAAGGACTTTTGAGTACCAAGAATTATCATACTAATTGAACTATATACATACATATATATATATATATATATATAGTTTTCACTTCACTATCATATACCTCTTATATATCTATACGTATGAGTATATATAAACTCAGTGTTGGTTACTCGTGAACTGCAATGTCATCATGAGAGTACACACCGATGGGCCATGCAAGAATTTTAAAGGAAGAAATGAAAAAAGAGGGACAAGTTTAATGTCAAGCACCATAAATGGGCACGTACTACTTTAAATTGGAGCCACATCCATATCCAATCTGTTCAATTTATACATCAGAAATCAGAAAGTGGTCCTGCATGGTGGTGTACACACACACATATATATATATACACACACACACACACACATATATATATATATACACACACACGTAGACATGTCCAATATATATGTTCCGGATGAATGATGGCATATAATTTGGTTGAACTTTGGAATCGGGAAACAGAGCAAGATTTGGCCTATTTTGTGCCATAACTGCGAATTTTTACTTCATACCATGTATGCTAAACACCCATGTACATATAAATATACAATATACATATGTGTGTGTGCATATACATACACACAGTATGTAATGCATTGATAATTGGGGTTGATGGGCGGCGGGCTGTCTAGTGCCAATTACCAAATGAAAGGGCCTCTTTCACAGAATATTGTGAACGTCCTTCAAACTTTCCACGGAGATAAGAAGCATATGGAAAACGTGGGCGTTTACGAATTTAAATTTCACCGAAAATATAAATTTTAACACTTTGTAACATCTTATGAATTAGTAATAGTCGTCATATAATATTTGATTAAATTGAATTATAAATTTAACTCGTTAATATATCAATAGAGCTGTAATTAACTAATTATGTTAAGTTTGAACGAGTCTATCACACTTTTGGGTGAAAAAAATATTTTATATCAGTTAGATTTCGTTAGTTAGTGTAATCACAATCGGTTAAAAACTCTATGTAACCTGTTTACGGTAAAAAATAAATTAATATCAATATCACTTATATAACCAATCTCTATATGAATTTTAATATATATATATATATAAGAAGAACACATTTGACCTAATTGAATTGTAAATTTAACTCGTTAATACATCAATAAAGCTGTAATGACCCAATTATGTTAAGTTTGAACGAGTCTATCATACTTCTGGGTGAAAAAAACGTTTTATATCAGTTAGATTTCGTTAGTTAGTGTAATCACAATCGATTAAAAACTCTATGTAACCTATTTACAGTAAAAAATAAATTAATATCAATATCACCTATATAACCAAACTCTATATGAATTTTAATATATATATATATATATATATAAATAAGAAGAACACATTTGACCTAATTGCTTTTCATTTCAAAATTTTGCGTAATATGTACTAACTAACCTTATTCTAATTTTATACGAAAATAGACATAAACTCAAATTCTATTATTTTTTATAGTTAAAAATATAAATGTATTAAATAAATTAAACTCTATTTTTCTTAAACATGACGAGGCCCAAAGCAATGGAAAAGGAAGGCCCATGTATTATGTTAACATTGTCGGGCCGGGTTAGTTGTCGTTTAGTCTTTCGCATACCGGGTCGGGTTGTGGTCCGAATACGACCAAATAGGAAAATACCATTTACGTGTCTTTTGTCACCATTCTATTCTTTTCTTCCACCGCACATTTACAATATTATTTGTACACAAAATCAAATCTCTTTATAATTTTCATGAAATCATGGGGAGTCGTCATAATTTACACTTTGAAAATTTTGGTTGACGTGGACAAATCATATTGGATTCCAAAATTGTTGATAAACTAGTTTACTAAAATTCGACGGCTGGGATTTAACCCCAAAAAATTTGGGAGTTCAAAATTGGTCATCGCTAATTTATTAGAATGTGATAATTGGGTTTTAACAAAGAGAAAAAAAATTCAAGACTCGAAATTGGGTGATACGTAAAGATTAATAATAAGAACAAAATTTTTAGAACAATAATATAAAATTATTAAAATATTGAACCAAAAAAAAAAAAATGGTTGGTAGAAATGAAAATTAAATTGTGAAGAAAACATTATCCCGAACGACACAAGCGAGCGTAGGTAGACGTGGGCATTGTATTTGCCTGTCACTAAGATTTCACACCACATCCACATCTCTCCCTTTGATCTGAACAACACACGTTAGATATACCTCGAGTCTTTCTTCTCTCTTCACCATTACAAAGATTTACACTGATCTCAAATGGCTCAGACCATGTTGCTCATGCATTCTACTCATGCCGCTCTAGATCTCAAGAAACAATCTTTGCTCCACACCCAGCTCAGGATTAAACCATTTTCTCCTCTATTTTTCAGCCCACTTCCCCCTTCATCATCATCATCTTCTTCTTCTTCTTCTAAACCATTCACAACTCTTGCTCTCTTCAAGTCTAAAACCAAAGCTGCTCCTGCTAAAAAGGTATTCATTCCTTCATTCCTTCTTTCCCTTTTTTGGGTTTTTGTTTTTTTTTTCTATGTAAATGTGTATATATATATGTATGT